TATAGTGCAAACAGACCATTCTGCTATCAAATATTTGATGCAAAAGAAAGATGTTAAACCGAGATTAATTAGATGGATACTTTTGCTGCAAGAGTTTGATTTTGTGGTAATAGATAGAAAGAGAATTGATAATCAAATAGATGTAGAAAATGAACGGAGATCAAAGATAGACAAGGAACCTGGGGGCTTCACATACTCCTAAGGAAAGGAACGGAGATCAGCATATGTAACTCTCGGAGCATAATGCGCAACTTAGTGGCTTCACATACTCCTAGGGACATAGATCGAAACTCGGCTTCTGCATTGTTATGGGCAACCACAGACCATTTTTTGTTTTTCCATGTAACAAGGTTTCCTCACGCGAATGAAAAATACTACGAGGTAGATTGGCGACCATGGATGAACCCAGCCCAATCGACGTCCACATAAACTGCAATAGAGCGAGAGTTGTGATGACAAAACAACAAACATGAGCCCGATGTGTCTTTTAAATAGTGGATGATCCGATGTACAGCGATGAGGCGGTGCTCGTAGGGATCATACATGAACGGAATAACAATATCAATGGCGTGACAAATATCCGAACGTTTATGGGCTAAGTAAATGAGTTTCCTCACTAGACATTGGTAGTATGTCTTATTCGCTGGAACAGCATCAGTAACATCTGTCAATTTTTCATTGGGATCCATTAGAACAGCTATTGATTTGCAAAGAAGTAGTTTAATCTTAGTCAGTAAATCTGTCACATATTTGTGCTAGGAAAGGCGAAGGCCCTGAGAGGACCGAGCTACTTCCATACCTAGGAAATATTGAAGAGAACCATGTCCTTCATCTCAAAAGATACGGTCAGGATTCTTTTGAAAGATTCCAAGGTCGGTCGGTCGTCGCCTGTGAGTAAAATGTCATCAACATAGACAATGAGGATGGCAATCCAGTCACAGATCAGATGAGTAGCAGAAAAACATCGTGGATCAGATTGGATCTGAGAGAAACCATGACCTACAACAACTTTTGTAAACTTGTTGAACCAGGCCCGATGGAATTGCTTCAATCCATAAATAGACTGTCGCAGTCAACACTAGTTCGCGAGAAGAGTTGAACCGAAGTCCGCTGAGAGACAAATACACCTCCTCTGCGAGATCACCATTAAGCATTCTTGACATCCAGTTGGAGTAAGGGTCAATCTAGATTCACAACAAGAGATAAAAGAACTTTAATGGTGTTCAGTTTAGCTACTGGAGGAGATTTATCCTCATTGTCAATTCTATAAGTTTGTGAATAGCCTTTGGCAATCAACCGCACTTAGTTGCGTTCAAAGCTTTCATTTGATTTAACTTTGTTGTTGAAAATCCATCAGCAACCCACTGCTTTCTTTTCTCGAAGAAGATCAACAACATCTAATAGATGGTTTGGCCAAAGGACATTCATCTCATCTATTAATGTCGACTTCCAAGAAGGGTTTGTCAATGTTGCCTCAATACTGGATGGAAGACAACGATCCGTCAAGGAAGTGGCAAATGCTTTGTAGGTCGATGATAAGCTGTGGAATGAGACTTATTTTTTCCATGGGAATAAGAAAGCATGTTTGATTGCGTACCTCAATGTTAGAATTCAGCACTTCATTCAGAGTAGGAGGAACTCGTGCAAGTTGAGTGCATCATTTCGGGGATGTTGGTCGAAGCGGATTCCATGACCTACAGCGAGACAATGGGCTTAAGAGTAGGGGCATTGTGATAAATTTCGATCAAGGGTTTTGTATGCCGAGTGTGGACATGTAGAGTGGATGGAGGTGATGTTGTTCTGCTTGGTGGCAGATCTAGGGGACAAAGGGTTACTCGGAGTAGGTGGAATATCTAGCGGTGTCGGAAAAGGAATAGTGTCCAGAAAATCTAGCTCCCCTTCCTTGAGGCAATGAGGGAGGTAGGGGATACTTTCAAAAAAGGAGACATGGGAACTTGCATAAAGTTTATTGGTGGTAGGATCAAGGTATTGATAGCCTTTTTGAGTGGTCGGATATCTGAGTAAGTCGCATTTTATTTGTCAAGGATCAAGTTTACTACGAGTTGAGGCTATGTTTCGAAAAAAGGTTGGGCACCCAAATATTTTGTGGTCTAATGTGGAGAACTGATTGGTAGGAAGACACAACATCAAGACTACTAACGAGGTTCAGAAGTTGTGGATTTTTTTCGGGACTCTATTGATGAGATATGTGGTGGTAAGGATGGCTTCATTCTAAAAATATTTTGGGATATTAAATTGAAACATAATAGAACGAACAACTTCAAAATGGTGTCAGTTTTTCTTCTCGGCTGCCTCATTTTGTTGAGTATTCGTACATGAGCTATGATAGAGGATGTACTAACTTACCAAGAATTCTCCTAATATAGAGTTAAAATTTTCAAGGTCGTTGGACTTGAATAGAGGCTTTGAATTAGGTCAAAATGAAGGAGTAAAAAATTTTGAAGGTGACCGCCATTTCAAATTTATCTTTTAGTACATGGACCCAAGTCATCCGAGAGTCGTCATTAATCAAGGGAAGGACCCACCTTTTATTAGTGTAGCTTGAAGTTCGAGAGGGTCCTCATAAGTCACTATGAATAAGTGAAAAGGAAGTTGAAGGAGTGTAAGGGTGGGATGGATATGGTTCACATTGATGTTTAGCTAAATGACACCTCACATTTAAAATTGGATGAATTTTTATTTGTAAACATCAAAGGACACAATTGTTTTAAATAATGAAAATTGAGATGATCCAAACAACATTGTAAAAGCATAGTAAGGCATTCAGTGGACTGAAAAAAACAACTATGAGTTTGAGTGTCTGCGTTATCAATGTTTTCTTTCTTGGAAGAAGTACAACCCGTCTACCCGCTTGGCAGTTTTAATCATCGTAATTGAATGACGATCCTGAAAGACACAAATATTAGGAGAAAAATGAGCAATGCAATCAATGTCATATGCCAATATACTGATCGACAAGAGGTTACACTTCAGTAACGAAACATGTAACATAGATCCCAGAGTCAGCCCGACTGTTATAATAACAAACCCTTTACCTGCAATAGAATTACTGGAGCCATCAGCATTTTTAATGGTATCTCTTCTAGAGCACGAAAAATATGTCGAGAATAGCCTTTCATATATTATGTGACACCTAAATCAATAATTCACGAACTAGAAAAAATAAAAGTAGTAAATGACATAGAAATGTTACCTTGACGAACATTGAAAGTTGACGGGCCGGAGGATACCCAACAAGATCCAAGCAGCTTAATTAATTGTTCTATCTGGCACTTGATGGAATCTGATGATTCATGGATTTTGAGGTCGTTGAGAGTCCTTTAGCAACGGAGGGTTTGGTCGAAGATTTTTTTGTTGGTTTCTTGTGGAGCTTCCAACACTTGTCACGAGTATGGTAGGTTTTGTGATAGAAATCACGTATGTTTGAGAGTGGCAAAGTGTTGACTACTATTTGTGACCAAGGCCAAAGGTTGAGCTGAAGGGGTGGAGGTGTCTAGCATGACAAGTCTCTGGCTTTCTTTGCGACAAATCTCAGTGAATGCTTCCTGAGATGAAGGAAAGGGATCGCGGCTAAGAGTACGTCCTCGCTTCCTGAGATGAAGGAAGGGGATCGCGGCTAAGAGTACGTCCTCGGACATCATCGAGATCCTTTTTTAGGCCGGCCAAGAATTGGAGCACTCCATCCTTTTCCACAATTTTTTGGAAGAGGGAAACATCTCCAGAAGAGTCCCAAGTGTAGTCGTACTAGAGATCGCATTTCATCCATAAGGCAACCAAGTCAACGAAATATTGTGTCATCGTCCTTGATCCTCTGTTTCGCCTCGCGAATCCTCTTAGTAACTTCATAGAGTTGGCCAGAATCGTCTGCGTCGAATAGGTATCGCGAACAACAGTCTAAAGGGCACTAACAGACAGAAGAAACAGGCACAAATGGCCAATTGAGGTATTCATGGAATTAATCAGCCATGACATGTCCATAGAATTTCCCATATTGCATACGTTGCTTTGAAGGTTTACGAACCTTACATGTGAGGTGGCCAAATTTACCCCGATCTTTGATGAACAACAACACCGCTTGAGACCATTGGAGGAAATTAGAGTCATTGAGTTTGTGGGTTATAATCAAAAAGTTCATGTGATATTCATGTCCTCCAGTCTGTGGAGGGATAGAGAGAGGTGTCGATCCTCCAGTGGACCAAGGACACCGTCAGAAGGAAGCTCAATAGTTGAGGAGTCCGCCATGGTTCCAACTGAGCCAAAGGTGAGGTTCGGATGCCAAGACCTAAACAGAGATGGTCCCTTACTAGGCTGTCAGCACAAAAGGGCCTGCAGTGGAGGATAAAGCTGGTAGAGGGAGATCTAGTAGCGGGTGGTCCTGTAAGGGAGAGGTCCGACTGTAGGGAGGAGCTTCAGCATTCTCACAGAAAACTGCAACAACTGCAACGGAAGAACATCCTTCGACAGTCTTGGGGAAGCTGCAGCTAACTGCAGCGGAAGAACATCCAACAGCGGTACAGCAGTATTCCCGGAAGAAACTGCAGTAGAAGGGTAAAATAACTGCAGAAAACTTCAGCGGTACTGCCGGTAGGATGACTGTAGGAAGGGATCCATAGGGGAAGGGAGGTTCGGTTGCTAGAAATATTGCAGGAGAGGTTCCGGAGGCTAGAATAAGATCTCGTGCCTCTAATACCATATAGCTTTAGGGAATAGAGCACGATATGAAATGAGAGGTATAAATATGACTCCTAATGTACGAAAATTTATAAAATATGAAAGACATAAATGGGAAATATAGAAAGGAAATAAATCAATGCTAATTACTTCTAACACTTTCATTATTTCTGTATTTTTTTTAAGACAGATGCAACATTCATGAGTAACAGTTGATTATCAGTTTTACGGTTGAGAAGAAGATACTTTCTCAACTTTGATTATTGTTGTATTTTCTGATTCTAAAATTTTTAAACCTACTTGCGCAGGCTGGGAAATTTGCTGATCTTGTTATGTGGAAGGCATCTTTCTTTGGTGCAAAACCAGAAATGGTGATTAAAGGTGGTGTTATTGCGTGGGCCAACATGGGTGACCCGAATGCTAGTATCCCAACTCCACAGCCGGTACGGCTGCTTCCACATTCCTCTAAGTTACATCGTTTGCAGTGATAACTGATTCCCTTGGGCTATCCATATTGTTAAGTAACATGATTATCCTAACAGATTCTTAGCCTAAGGATCATACTTGCATTTAAAACGAAATTTCTTTTTCTATTGTTTCGTCTTGGATAGTTTCGAGTTTTAATAAATTATTTATTCTACATTTCATCATTTTTTGAATTTCCCATATGCTTGCAGGTTATGATGAGACCAATGTTTGGTGCGTTCGGCAAAGCAGGGAGCTCTAATTCTATCGCTTTTGTTAGCAAGGCAAGATAACTGCATTTTTTTGCTTTTTCTCTTTAAGAAAATCGTCATACTACACAAATAAATCTAAAAAGTTCCTCAAAATAGAAAAATAAACAATCAAATAGTCTCATCTGCAGAAATAATCTTCATTAGAAAATATGGAATAGAAAAAAGCTCAAAATGGAAAAGATTCATGTTGAAGTTGGCAACGGAATGTATTCCGTACAAAAATCACTACTCCCAATAGCTGGATTTTGATTTTCCAAAAGATTGTGGAATCCAACAATCGTGGGTACCGCATTTCGATCCCACAGAACGACTGTTGCTTCCTCATCACCACCTACATTTGCTGTATTTGAGCGCATTTAGAATGTATCATGATAAGTATAAAAAAAGGATTTCAATGCATTTGAATTGCATAAAATCTAACTACTCATGCATTTCTAATTCCGTGTGGCACCACACTTCTAAACCTATTACCCTCATCCTCTTTCCACCTACTAAAATGCAAAAGCATTCCACTAGAAAGCTTTAGGGAATGTAACTACAAATCTCCTCAATACTCTCTGAAACGATAATTTTTTCTTTTATATTCATAATAAGTGAAACAGAATTATCATTACCTGAACATATTTGGATTTTGGGATAACGAAATTTTGGAAAACAATCGATCGTTGCAATCATGTCCCGTTCTTTCTTGTGCGTTGTGAACTGAAAATTTATCCATTTTTTATACTCTATGAATTAATTGGTTTAGCGTATTAGCTTTATTTTTGTTTTCAGGCTGCTAAAAATGCTGGTATTGCTCAAGAGTATGGTCTTCACAAAAGAGTTGAAGCCGTTGGTAATGTTCGTAGCCTAACAAAGCTTGATATGAAGCTCAACGACGCACTGCCGATCATTGAAGTCGATCCGGAGTCCTACAGAGTTACAGCTGACGGCGAGATTCTCCAATGCGACCAAGCATCAAACGTTCCCTTGTCCAGGAATTACTTCCTCTTCTAACTTCTAATTGAGTTTGATATTCTTTGCTGGTACCAAGGCACCATCACTCTTCATGAAGTCGTGAATAATATTGCTATCCACGCCATTGATTGCCGACTAGTCATATGGATGCAAATTCATGTTTCTCCGCAAGTTTGAAATAAAATTTACTCGAAGGAAAAAGTATTTTAGCCATTAATTTGAAGTTTTTTTAAAGTTGCAGATTCTGAATAAATGAAGCTTCAATTCAGGAAGGTACTGTCGTGTGCCCAACTGTAAGTTAATGTCTTTAAAAAATTTAAAAAAAAAAGAAAAATTTCCAGCATTCTGAGTTCCCTTTGTTATGCCCGGCTTTTATAGGGTTTTTTTTTGGCTTTGTTGTGCCACTGGTGTAACCTACTTTATTTGAATTTTAATTTATTTTCATTCTTGTTATTTTATTACTAAGATCTCAACCGAACTAACCTTATTCTTAAGTTAACCGTCATAACTCATTCTAATTTAATTTTTCAGAAAAAAGGAATGTATGAAAAAGAGAAAAAATTACATAATAATTAGATTTTTCATATTTGCGCATCTCCTGCGTGCTTTTATAAAATTTATTTGAGAAAGAAATCTGCATATTCACTCGTCTGCCTAGTCTTATCCGGAATTTTATTTTATATATTTTGGTACATAAACCATCCAAGAAAGAGTTGCAATCTCGTATCTTGCTTATTATGGCCATATCCTCTTATATGTTCTCACTAGGGTGATAAAAAGAACTATTATTGGCATGAATCATGATGATAACAAGTTGAGCATGTGGGGTTTAACAATTTGGGTTGAAGAATAGTGTCATAGTTTACCAATTTTATTTTAAATATATAGTTTGATGGCGTATAACAGAGGGCTTGAGTTTAGGTTTGGTGATTTTTGTAGGATGTTATGTGGGATGATAAATGAGGTGTAGAGGCTTGGATTAGGGCTGTCAAAACAGCTTGTTGTTCATGAACAGCTCGTATTCGGCTCGTTAAAAAGCTCGTATTCAGCTCGTTCTCTAAGTTAACGAGCCGAATACGAACAAAGATTAGTTTGTCGTGTTCGGCTCGTTTTGGCTCGAAATATTATTCATAAATTATATATATATATATATATTATGAGGACAAAGCCTGAGGGCAAATATATTCATACGAAAAAGATACAAAAGTTGTATGAGAGGACCTAAAAGAAAGTCTAACGCATACAATACAACACACTAAATTCAGATAAAGCGAAGATACACAAAAGGTAAAAAATCAAAAAACACAAAAGAGCACAAAAGTGCTAGGGACGTCTCACTTTAGTTCTTTTCCCTCTAGTTCTCGATAGTGAGCCGGTTAACAAATTAGTAAGGTGTGTATCATTGCCCGTAGTAACCAGAGTATCATCCATTAGATTCCTGAGCTCAAGTATATTTTCATTCTTCTTCTTTCTCCTAGATGTGTAGACTTGTCATTCCTCATCCGATGATTGACTCATCTGATCAGTAGTTTCCAAAGATGGTCGGATAGGTGTAGGTCGTTGCATGTCTTGATCCCCATGAGCCTGAGTAATATTAACATCTTTCTAGACCTGATGATGCGGTTGTGAAGTAGTAGAAATATTTTCACCTGTTTTATTAGTGATAGGTTCTAGGACAGGCGGGTTCTGAAGAAACTCTCTCTCCCCCACGATAAGAGGTTCCAAAGACAAGGGATCTACAACTGGGGATTGAATAGTTGTCAAATTGCGTGTCTGATCAAGAGGAGATGGAATCACAACCTCTAGCGGAGCAGTTTGCTTTTTTGGTTTGAGTTGGGGGTGTAGATGGTGACATTGAGAACTGGAGTGTTCGAACATACGACAGTTCGAACAATCTGACGGAAAAGGTTCACTCTCTACCTTCTGCCAATATCCCTGATGTTGTGTGCCCAACTAGATTTCCTCAGACATAGGCAAAGTGATATCTCTTTCAATAAGTATTCTGACTTCAGAAGGACGAGACAAATTAAAAGTAGGAATGTCCGTCTTGTGTGGCTTCCCATAAGATGAGACAATATAATACAATATTTTTTGAGAAAATAATGAAATTTCAAACCAGGGAGACAAATCCAAACCGGAATGATTGGGGGTTTTGTCTGTGGGTCAAAATTCGCAGATCATTTCAGAATCTTCATTGCTCTGTTATCAATCCATATTACCCCTTTAGCAAATAAACGCATGTAATCTTTTTCATTGAATAAAAATGTGTCTCTTATCTAATAATCTAATTTTCCATTCTCCAACAAGGTGCATAAGTTCAAATTCTTTGCGAATGAGCTTCATTTTGGGATGTCCATATAGAAATTTTCCAACCAAATTCAGACGACAGGAGGAAGCAAATTGAATACCTTCAGCTTCTATAAAAAAGATGGTGGGCTTTCCATTCTTCCTACCATGTTTCTTGACGTCCTCCGCCCACTCAAACGAAGGAGAGAAAGATGATGATTTTGGTGTGCCTGAGGCATGGACACTGGCTAGAGAAGCTACATATGATTTGTCCGAAACCATCCTCTAGGACAACCTTTAGAGAAGAGAGCAGATGAGCGCAGAGAACGCAGGAATCAGAGCAGTTCCCACGAGGTTGAGCCGCAGAAGTGCAGAGAACGCAAGAAACAGAAGTTCCCGCAAGGGTGATCCGCAGAAGCGAGCGGCGAGACGGGCCACAAAGGAGCGAGCCAGAGAAGGAAGAAACGCGAGAGACGAACTCGAGCGTGAAGAAGAACACACGAGCGAGAGAGATCGAAGCCGTGATTGTTGCTAGGGTTCGCCATCGGGCGAAACCCTAGCAGAGCCAAGCGAGGACGACGATGCCATTCTTATATATATATATATAGGTGGCTGGTTAGGAGATACAAGAGAGATTGCTTGGGTTTGTAACATGGAATTATCATTCATTGTACTGCTTCAGAATACAGCTTAATTTATCAAACTATGTTCTTAAAAATTTAGAAAGAACAAAATTAGTGTAGATACAGTTCGATTTTGATGGTTTTATAACTTTACATGCATACCATAGTAGATGGGTACCACACATACATATAGAAATAAATGTGTACTACTATCAAACTATGGTGCATATATACTTTTCAAGGGTTAAAGTTCAGCAAACACTTGACAGATCCTCTAGTTGGCAAGTTCACATTATAATTTTAAAAATAAAGGTCGGATGACAGATACAGTACATGAAATGTTTCACTTAACAATTTCTGAAGGAGTATGGAAAGTGTTTCAAACGAGAAACCTGAAGAAGTACAGCTTATTTTTTCTCTATTTATGTTCTTCAAAATTTTGAAAGCATGAAGGTAGGTATATACAATTCAAATTTGATGGTTATATATAATGTCTGTATGTATGTATGTATGTGTGTGTATGTATATATAGATATGTATAATGATAACAAGTAGTAATAATGATAATAACAATAATAATAATAATATACAAATCACAATAATAACATATAAATAATAATAACTAATAACAACTTATAAATAATAAATAATATCACATAATAATAATAAAAATAATAATAATAATAATAATAATGACTTATGAATGATAGTGAATGTATAATAATATATATGAGTGGTAATAATAATAACATATAATATAATAATAATAATATATAACGATAAAATTCAAGCATTAATAATAATGATAATAATAAGGATAATAATAACTAATAACAATAATAGTGTATAATACTAATAATAATAACAATAACAATAATAAAATAATAATTATTATTATAACATTTAAGCATAAAGAAATTGTAATAATAATAATATATGATGATAATAATAAAAAAATACTATAATATATATATATATATATATATATATAATGATAACGATAAAAATAAGGCTAATAATAACATATAAATAATAATAATAATAATAATAATAATAATAATAATAATAATAACAACAACAACGATAATAATAAATAAAAAAATAATAAAAATAAAAATTATAACAAATAAATAATAATAAATTGAAAATTATATATAATAATATAAATGCGGTGATAGTAATAATATATACGTAATAATATTAACGATAATAATAATAATAAAATATGCATATATGATAATAATAACACATAATACATAACATACATAACATGCATAATACAATGATACGTATATAATACAATAATACATACATAATACATAGCAGTCATCAAACATAAATGCACTTTTTCAAAGACAATGACAACGATAACAACGACAATAAAAACAACAATCAAAACATAGGATAGGCCTCCTAAGGCACGGTTTTCTCTCCACAGAATTTATGATTACTTAACACTTTACCCTTAATGATCTAAGAGCTTTGTAGTGAGCTAGTACCGATCTGAAATTATTTAAAGAAATTAACAAAAAAAAGAAAAAGAACATGATTTGTCGTAAACACTACAAGCTCAAACTTGCATATCCCCTCTCCTATGGATTAACTGAGATATAAAAAAAACTAAGCACAGCTCATACCCAATGAATCTCGGGGTGATCTATTCAACAACATAATAGATTCAACCGAAATTGAAATGGTTTAAAGGATTATTAAAAGTTGTTCCAGGTGATACCCCGAACACTTTTATAATCTCTTGGATATTTTGAAGGACGATTGAACTTGCTATGTTTTATTCAAGAACATCATCCTTAAAATCTTTAGGGACCCACCAACTTATGAATTGTGGTCTCTTTTTAATTTAAATTATTAAGGCTTCATTGTTGCTTAATAGTTGCTCTTACTTTTACTTTGCAATACATACATAATTATGAACATTAACATTTCAGCAAGAGCAGCGAGAAGATGACATCTATGCATTTATAGTTTATTTATTGTCATTTTTTTTCAGCAATTTACTACTGCTTTAATGTATCATACATGCTTGATTGAAATAATTTTTTAAAAGTGAAAACAAACAATTTTCAAAGTTAAAGTAAACCTTTTTCAAAATTTAACAATATTTTCAAAAACAAACAAACAACATAATACGTCATTTTGAATTTACGGGAGTTTTTCGGATGAGGTTAACCCATGGTTGTTAACGAGATCTCCCTAGCTTAAATGAGATTAACAACTCATTTGGACTAAGTAAATTTAAAAGAAAATAGTGGTACCAGAATGAGGGAACCGTGGGATCCTAACCGGTGACGCTCGAACCAACTTTAACCCCCCCTTACAATACTTGATCAACAAAAAAACATGTCATTGAAAAATACACGGTAAAATTTCTTGAACCTTAGACCTTAGTACTGTCACTTTAACGAGGAGTTTGGAGTTAACACCGTGGGCTACATGACAAGAATATATAGAAGAACATCT